GCAGCAGCAGCAGCAGCAGCAGCAGCAGCAGCAGCAGCAGATGCTGCTGCTGCTGCTTGCGCCGATGATAATGCTGCTGCTACAGTTCTTTATGCTGGCGAGTTGCTGTTGCTGCTGCTGTGTTTGCTGCTGCTGCTGCTGCTGCTGCAGCTGCTGCTGGTGTGTTTGTTGCTGCTGCTGCTGCTGCTGCAGCAGCTGCTGCTGCTGCTTACCTCCTCGATGATTTCTTTTTCTTCTTTTGCTTCTTCGTCTGCTGCAGCAGCAACAGCAGCAGCCTGTGGTGTCTCCGTTTCTTTTTTTGTTTCTTTTGTTGTATCTCTCACTTCTGCTGTCTCCTTTTCTTCTGCTGCTTCTTCTCTTGCTGCAGCAGCAACTGCTGCTGCTGCTGCTGCTGGTTTCTCTGTTTCTTCTTTTGCTGCTGCTGCAGCAGGAGCAGGAGCAGCAGCAGCAGTTGCTGCTGCTGGTGTCTCCTTTTCTTCTTCTGCTTCTTCTTTTTCTCCTGCTGCTACTGTCTCCTTTTCTGTCTCCTTTTGTGTTTTTTCTTTTTCTGTCTCTTTTTGTTTTTTTTCTTTTTCTGTCTCCTTTTTCTTTTGCTGCTGTCTCCGCTTGAATGCAGCAGCAGCAGCAGCAACACGAAAAGCACCACCAAGAGACAATCTCTCTGTTGTCTCTTTTGCCTGAAACACACAAAACCCTAAACCCTAAACCCTAAACCCTAAACCCTAAACCCTAGGAACAACAAACGTGTTAATAGGAGTTATATATATATATATAAACGCAAAAAGAAAAACAAAAATAAAATAAAAATTAAAATACACAAACAAATAGAGACAGATAGAGACAAACAAACAAACAAAGAGAGATAGAAATATATAAACAAATATAAAAGGAGACAGCTACAGATAGATAAATATATAAAGAGAAAGAGACAAATAAACAAAAAAAAAAAAGACAGAAACAAATAAACAAACACCAAAGGAGACAGCTGAAAGCCTAATAAGGATAAGGGTTTAGGGTTTAGGGTTTAGGGTTTAGGGTTTAGTTGTGTTTCAGGTGTCACTGCAGCTCTCATTATTTCTTTTGTCTCTTCTTCTTCTCTCTCTTCTTCTCTCTCGCTTTCTTTCTCTGTCTCCTTTTCTTTTTTTTCTTTTTCTTTTTCTTTTTCTGTCTCCTTTTCTGTTTCTTTCTCTTTCTCTTCTTTTTCTTTTTCTTTTTCTTTTTCTTTCTCTGTTTCCTTTTCTTTTTCTTTTTCTTCTTTTTCTTTTTCTTTTTCTTTTTCTTTTTCTTCTTTTTCTTTTTCTTTTTCTTTTTCTTTCTTTTCTCTCTCTTTGCGTTTCAGGGGCCGCTTAAATGCTGCTGCTGCAGCAGCAGCAGCAGCAGCAGCACCAAGCGAAGGCCGAGTCTCCTTTGGCTGCATACAACACAAACCCTAAACCCTAAACCCTAAACCCTAAACCCTAACCCCCAAACCCTAAACCCTAAACCCTAAACCCTAAA